TTAAATTGAGCATGTTGCGTTTTGTTACATAGCTTGGGGTGGTGAGAGAAATCCATTGAACTTGAAGTTAATTAGTATGGGAAGACTGTAATTTATCAAGATTGCATGAATGAAAGTGAGGGCATTGATATTTAATTAGCGAGTGCATTTGGATTTTTTAGATTATTTTTTCCTTTTTGATTTAATTCAAAATATTGTAAGTACTTCACATACAATGAAAGAGGAATAGATTGAGGGCAGGAAACTGAAAAGGCATTAAAAACCTTATGGCATAGTTGGAGTTTTTTTGCTATTAAGTACGTGCTGTTATCAGATAAGAGAGCTTTTATTGCTGTGGTCTGTTCTCATTTTGTATCTAAATTGTAGCTAAAAAGAAGCTTTAGATGACAGAGTCCTAATTTATATTACCAGGAAGGACCGAGCTTATAGAGCTATTAAACCAGAATGTGCCTGTTTGTTACTTCTTCTGCTTCCATGTTTCTGAGACCTAGGGGTCCCTTCCAACCCAAAACATTCTATGATTCTATGATTCCACTGAAGCAATGGGGACCTCCATGTGATTTCAAAAAACCTTTACGCTCAGCTGTATTTTATACTGTGGGCTGCCTTTTTCTTCATTTTCCTTAATTTAAGATAAGTCCTTGTAGATTGAAGCTTCACGGTTACTCTCCTTTATGGAAAATGATGCTGCTTTTCACAGGAATGGGCCCAGTCCCACCAGTTTCTAATCATGCAGCATGCGTCCCGCTGACGTAAGGGACTGTGGAACGGGGTGTTGTCATGTCAAGTGCATTGAATAAAGTACAGAAAGCTCTCTCCCAGGAGCATTACTGCCTTGCTCAGTTTGTTCATCCATCGCCTTCCAGCAAGACATGCAGGGCTCGTGTTTCTGTGCGCAGTGATTGACACTGAGTCATTTCTCATAGCTGCTTGGGGTGGTGCCCAAAACTATGGTGCTTGTATTGTGAATAATATGCATCTTTTATTGACTCTGGTTGTGCATTTAGCTTACATGCCACAGCGAGGCGTGCATAAAAATATTCACTGAAAGTCTCACCGGTAGTTCAGGCGTGCCATCGTGGGGGTGTGAATAGACTGGAAATATTCTTGTGCATTGGGAGACACCTGCTGTGCAGTCCACAAATCGCAGCTCCACGCTGCACGTACAATGCCCAGGCTCCTTGTTACAGCTACGGTAGGTCAGTGTGATATTCAAGTTGGTCTCTGTAAAACGCAACCTGATTGTAGTACTTACCTTGCTCCACGGACTGTAAAAAGAATCATGATTAGGTAGAGGCCTGCATGGTTCCTTAATCTTTTTAATCTTGAATTTTATGCAGGCGTTTACACCTGCCTCTGCACAAGCAAACTCCATCACTCTCTATGGCTCCCTTTTGCCTCTTGTGAATAGTGATAATATCACTTCCCTGCCTCCCAGGGCTGCTCTGAATAAATGCATTAGAAATTTATTTGGCTGGGGTAGTCGTGGGACCAGAGCACTCTTTCACTAGTGCTCCAGTAAAATTTGCTCTTGTAGGTGTGTCGGTTGTTGTGCAGCTATGGCATTTTTTACAAACCCCACTACAAACTGTGCCTGCTCTCCTTACGCACGCTGCTGTAGGAATTATGCACACTGGCGATGAGCACACCCAGCTCTGAAAGATGAGGCCCAAGAAGTTTCTGGAACTTCTGCGTTCCCCACGTTGGTGGCTGCAATTTAAAAATCCACATTTGTAGTGCTCAGTGGGCTGCCAAAGCTGAGATCTGCAGGATTTAAACAATTTCGTGACAGCTGCAAGATAGCACTTCAGTTTCCACGGAAACTGGCACTGGCTCTCCAAAATCAAGGTGAAGTGGTGGCTGATTATCTAATAATAATGCTGAACATTTAAATATGAAGTTCTTCACCTTCCTTTTGCTGAAAAAATTTCTATTCCTACAGCATCCAGCAAATGCAATAGAGGTCTTGCAAATTCAAACTGTTGTCACAGCTTGGGCTGTGTAATCTGCTTTCCAGAGATGAAAGAATTCAGCCTTGACCCGTTCAGGCACTGAGTGTTGTGCTCTGCTGTTAAGATAAAGGGCTAGTTTGTCCCCAGATCTACTGCATAAACTGCTACCATTGTTTATATGATAAATTACAGAATAACAAAAGTTCTTTTGCTTTACCATGTGTTTTTATACTATGCCTTTCCAGAACATTTTTTTTCCTCAAATGCATTTCCTCATAAATAATTCTCATTGCATAAACTTCTTATCTGGTCACACTCTTGCTTATCACTTGAATTTAATTGCTCTTTGGCTTTGTACTCACTGGACTCTTGTTTTGAATCAGTGAGTTTCATAGTTTTGCTGAACATTCCTTTTTCCAGGTCATTGATTTCTAAGGTTAACAAAATGAATCCTCCTGCTGATCCTTGTTACGTCCCACTAATCTCCTTGCTATATCCTGATTTAACCGCTCAATTACCTTTTGTCTTCAATTTCAGGGGCATTTACTGAGCCCACAGATCAGTCTTTTGTGCAGGAAGCAGTTTCATCTTGGATTCAGGAACATGTTCGTGTGAATATTTCTCATACTTACACCTCAATTTGTTAAGGTTGTTTAAATTTTCTTGGTTAAGTTGCTTCTTGACATGCCCTTTTAAGTGTACTTTCTCCACCGCTTATTTTTTGCAAGAGATGACTTTCTTTCTAACCTCTATTCTTTTCCATCTGCTCTTCAATAATATCTTCCACTATTTGATAGCGTTGACTTCGCACTTTGCAGCACTTCATCTTTTCTACCTTTCTGAATCATTTGACTCCTTTGCCATCCTTTGTTCATTTGAGGAAGAGGGGAAGAGCAAATGTTCTTCTGAAGGACATTTGCTCTGTTTTTCTCAATAGGAAATTGGGGATTTTCTTAGGCCTGTCTTTCCTATCACTAACTCCATGCCCTTCTGGTTTTTTGACTGGGGGTTCATATCCACTTTAGCCAGGTTTAGCATCTCAGCTTGGACATACTGGGGAGAGCACGGTGACACAAAACCAAAGAAGCAATGTTGATACCCTTTCAATCAGCTGGGTATTAAAGGAAAATGGGGCAGAGCATAGGTCTTACTCCTTTGATAAGATTTTCCTCCAGCCCAAATGACCCCTGTTTCAGGTAACTGTAACTGAGTCTGCTCTCTCATAGTTATTGTCTTTGCCAGGAGTGCAATATGGAGAAGAAAGGGCTCTTTACACATTTGTTAGTGTGCCAAGGGGTTGTCTTTCGGTGTATTATAGCAGCAAGGGTCACGTGTCTGTCACCAATGTAATAAAAGAAGCAGCCCAAACTAAACTTCTGGCTGCAGAGAGCCACTGTGCAGTCTGTCTAGGGCCACCGACACTCTGAGCTGCATTTTTCACATCAGAAATCTGTCATTTCTAGTGCCAAAGAACCATGTGGCCATTTACAGAACACACTGACATCCCAGAACAAGTCACGCACCTTTGGCAGTGGCTCAGATGACTGGGATCTCAGGAATAAGCAATAAAACTGAAGCTCTCAAGAACAATAGCTTCTTTGCTAAGGAGAGGCACATTTTTAACAGTGAATGAATATGACTGAAGATAAGAGTTTGAGACCAGGGCACTGAGAATGAATACAGAGGACACCACTCCTAATCAACAAGCTTGCTTATAAATACAATCTCTCTTTAGAAAAAAGGCCAAAAGAAGTTCTGCCTTGGAAAGTACTTTCTGACAAAAACGGTTTTACTCAATCATTTGTTATCTTAGGTGATCCTATTCTATTTTGAATGTATCACATTAATTAACAAAGCCCTTCTGAGGTCATGTAATTTAGTTCACCGAAGAACAGAACCTCTGGGCTCCTCTGAGGAAAGGTAGAAGTTGAATGTATGAGATGAGCACCATGAAAGCCTCATAGTAAATCCCCTCATGTTCAGACAATTATCTCCCAATCAGTGCATTTGAGAAATTATGACATACTTGAAAAACCCCAAGCCCATGATACCCATAGGCTTTAAATCAGAGGTGGGGAAAGTGTGTCACTTTTAAACAAAGAAATGGCCACAAAGGCACTTTTGTTTAAAAGCCTCCAGGGTGCTCTGAAATGCCTTGTAGCAGGGGCCAAATCAGGAAGCTGATAGTAGAAGATAGTCTGCAACAGGCGTGGAGTTTAGACAGCCTTGAACATTGACTGTGAATTTGAACTGAATAGGTTTGCTGAGCAGCTTTGTGCTACAAGCTGTTGCATTTTTTGGAAAAGGAGCTCTGGTGACTAGCTGGGTAGTAACATAAGAAAGAAAAGAAGAATGAACAGCCTGAAAAAAAAACCAAAGCTACTTATACAGAATAGAGTGGTGTACTGCTTCACAAAGTGTTGGAGACAGGGAGCCTTCTACAGCATGCACTGCGATCCCACCAAAATCCTGCTAGCAGCTAGCTCTCCATGAGCAGGTCACAAACCACTACAGTCCCACAGTAGCCCATTAACTTTACAAAGGGGTCTTTTAAGACAGGAGGAAAAAAGACAACATAATTAGGTAGTTTGGTTCATTGGAAGCACCGAGGCTGTTCTCAAGCTGGACAAATACACATTCAACAGCATTTTGGGTGACTTCAGTTTCCAGTCATATTGTTGTAACAGGAAATATTTGTCTTAAGCATTTTCTTCTTTGAAGCAGACAGCAGAAGGAACAGAGAAATTACAAGAGGTAGTGAGTTTGGCAAACCTGCACACAAAACAATCTTTCTTAAGAATAAAATGCTGCATTTACAGCTGTAAATGTATACACCCGTATAATTTAAAAATACAAAGATACTTTTACTGTGTTTCAGGGCTTGCTCTTTTTTGATTCAGAGAATGAAATGCTCAAGTGCTGGACTAAAGTGGTTAACCTCATTGCATTGGCAAAACCAAACCATTCATGCAGCACTGGCTTTTTAACTTATCATAAGTGAGAAAGTTAAACTCGACAGTTAGTGTAACCAAAGTGCAGTTGTGTTCTTCACAGTGTGTACATTTTGACTGGCTTGTAAAAAGAATGTAGAAGTTCATGACTCTCCCTGGCAGCTTCTTGAGATGACCGAAGAAAACATGATCTGCAACATATTTGGCCACAGCCTGACTCCGAATGAGAAGGCAGGTTTTTATCAGACAGTGGAGAAAAGTCGAAGTCAGCTACCTGGAAAAGAAACATCAAAGAGATCATTTTTAATTCGGGTCCTACTGACTCAAGTGAGTCCAGCAACAATACTTTGGGCCAGAAATGGCACTTGGTCCTCAACCAATTTCAGTCAGTCACCAACTTCAAATAGACTTCTGATTTATACCTGCTGCACACCTGGCTCACAGGCAGTCTCTCTAGAGGTATATTATTCCTATTCTGGCATGATGTAAAGTGTACTAGGTACTTTCCAAAGGGCAACAAAAGCTACTTGTGATTTAGGAGCTCATGCTTATTACAGATATGATAATGTAGCAAGTGACAGCTATACCAGAGATGGAAGGGAGTATAATGGAAGGGAAAATAAAGGTCACATACTAGGGTCAGGTGACAATTTAGTGCCACTTTAGGTAACATACCCACCGTTTTTTACTACCCTGTGTCCTCTCTCGCTATCCCACTGCTTTCTTTCATGTAACAACTCTGAGGTAGATCCTCCGGAAGGGATACTTCAATGCAAACACCTGCTTGGGAGTATTAACAAACTGCCCATGATAGCCCTGCCAACTTGAATTATAGTTACAGTTCTCCACAACAAATCAGAAGCATGCCAGTTGCTTGAAGTGTTTGCCTACACTGTTCAGATTTTTCCGTGGAATGGATCAGACATACCAGGGAAATGCTCCCTCCCGCTCTATCTGGGGATTAAAGAAGGGACATGACTGAAAGGTATCTAATTGCTATCCCAGCTCAAAGTAAGCGTAACTGAATACCTCCACGAGATCTTTTTGTTGTGTGTTACTTCGGAAAGTTGTGTACAGCACCAGTCCTAGCATCCCTGAAACCAGAGCGATGCAGAGCAGGACAAAGAAAGCTGGGTGGATCCCTAGGAAAGAGCACAAGGGCACATTCCCAGAGTGATACAATACACTGAGAAGAGGCAACAGTGAGGAGGAAATGATGTTTTAGGAGAAGTTTTTGTATTTTTAGAACAAAGGACATGTGTGTAACAGGGAATAAATTTTTCAGCCCAGATCACTTCAGGTCTTTCTGAAATCTCAGAAGTGCGAATGCAGGGTTGTGATGTTGTAAGGGTTTTGCCCTTGTTACTCTTCCCTTGAGCAGCCTAAAAACCCCACCCAGTTATATAATGTTAGCCCTAACTCCCCAGGGTGTTTGTACCTCTGTGGTACCCCAAGAGGATAGGAAGGAACCTCATCTTCACAGCAGCTAGCAGCCTCCAGCAAAGGAGATTTTCACACTTAGCCCTGAATGCACACCAGTGATTTCTGGAGTGAGCCGCCCTGTCTGTATACAAGTGCTGGCCCATGGTGAGATGGTGTAACCATTCTGTATCACAGCCTGGCTGTCCCCTGGTCAGGTCCTCTTCACTTGGCCACCTAACCACTTTCTCAGGTGATTCAGGGACCCAAGAGGGGCATGTGTGAGCATGCATGGGGGAGCCAGCAGGGACTGCTGGCTGGGGGGACAGAAACCCGTAATGAAATGGAGGCATAGAAAAATCTACCCTTAAAAAAAACATAACTAAACTAAACAAAAAGAAGAATTGAGACTGCTTAATTAAGGGAGTATTACAGACGCATATGTTTTCCTAGTTATCCTCTCTAACTACAAAAGCAAGGCTATTTAAACTGAAAAATATGTAAATTAAGTAATTCAGCCTTCCCAGGAAACTCATTAGCTTCAAGACGCTCTTGAGACTAAGGGTTCAGCA